GGTGGGCCACAAAAAAAAAAAAAAAAAAACAGCTGAGGTGAGCCATGCCAACATGACCCCTTGCCCTCACTCACTGCCTTCATTAAGCAACTACACATGACGGTACTCTCAAGAGCACTTCACTGTACTCCAGTGCTTCTCTCTGCTACACATCCTTTATCAGGTCTGACCTTTCAACCATTTTCAGGTGGTTAAAAAAAAACATTCTCTATTTGTAGAGCAAAAGTTCAAGGGTGAAGTCACTCTACATCACAATAATGAGTGTGGTGAAGGGAAAAAAACAGATTAGTAGAAATAATGATCGCTGGTTTGGATTAGTTTGGCACAGGGAAATATTAGTTCACGTAGAATAGCTGGCTGAGTAGAGAAACAGCATCTGTGATTCGTTTGAAATCATTCTGTCTGTATAAAGACTTGATCAAGAAACATTTTTAAACAAATCTAAGGATAACGAGCTGAGAAAAGGAGATCTGCAAGGGATGACAATAAGAACAAACAAGAGACAGGTCCAGAGGAGATCTGTGAGAAACTTGAAAGTCAAAGGTCACCTGTTAAGCTGTGATATTAATCTAAATCCAGGGCGTTTCTCTTCGGTCCATGGCGGTTGCTCCCTTCAGAAATGAAAACAGTCACGTGTTATTTACTACTGTACTGAGCCTGTAGCCCTGGCTCAGGGGTTAGTACAGCAGCATGAGCAAGCCAGAGAGACAAAGACAGAAGAAAGAATTCCTCTGTGACACCTTCAAGAAAACATAAACAGAGCTGTAGAAACCAGAGCCTATTCCCCCAGGTTAGTCTAGTACTGCGTGCAGCACTGATTTACTGCTTCAATTAGATTGGAGCTGCAACGTCTGAGAGCAAACAAAAGTGCTATAATATCTTAAATGGTTAATGAACCAAAAGAAACATGAAGGCAACACCGCAGCAGAGCAACCACACTGGGCAATCAGGATATAGACTCAACCAAATAAACAAACACATCTTACTGGCCACTAAAGCAATCAACACAAATAAAAACCTTAATCTTTGTGACAGCCACGCAATTCAGAGACCATTTCTAAAAGAAATGCGACCAGAACTTGACTGTGGAACTTGCTTTCACAACGCCTGGGCATTTCTATGTGGTTGCTAGGATGTTGTAGGTGGTTGCTAAGTGGTTTCTTTTTGTCCCAAGTCAAAACAGATGCTAGGCTCTATGAAATCCTGGTCCTGTAGCTCAAATGGTAAAGCGTGGTGCTTTCAACAGCAAGGTCATGGGTTTGATTTCTAGGGAACACACATAATGTGCTGTTAACTATTAACCAATTAGGCTAAATAAAATAAACTACCGTTCAACATTTTTTTTTTCTGTCCCTACGTTTTTAGTTAAGTAGTTAATATTTCTATTTAGTTTTTAAATTGATAAAAATTAACAGTAAAGACATTTAGAATGTTACTAATCTTCTTATTCAAAACGAAAAAACAAGACGAAAAAATGTCTCAAAAATATTACTGTTTTCAACATGGATAAAAGTTTCTTGAGCACCAAATCAGCATATTAAAATGATTTCTGAAGGATCATGTGACACTGAAAATTCAGATCTGCCTTCATTTTAAAATACTGTTTTTACTGTATTTTTGTTCAAATAAATGCCACTTACAAAAAAAAAAATTTGAAAAATTGAAAAATCATCCCGACCTCAAACCTTTAAACTGATATGAAGCTAACAAAATACTTCTATCTGTGATATAATAACTCAGCTGTGCCATGACTCACGGCAAATAATAACATATGGCAAGTGTGTGAAAGAGCACAAAACAAGACATGCGTGCATAATGACATTCATACGGTGACCGAGAAGTGCAAAACAAATCACTTGTTGTGCTTTCTGAATTGTTATTTTGTTTTTTAGACTTGCATTTGCGTTTGCAATTTATTATTTTGTTTTCAGAATTGTGATTTGTTTTGCACTTCTCGGCCACCGTACATTCACCATGTAGATGCACAAGCAGCCCAGCAGATGTAGCATGTGCACGCTGCTGTCTGCCAGAACATAGAAGCTGGTTCCCACTAAGAAGGTTAACATATTCCTATCACCAAGACAATAAAAAGAAATAATAAACAGATTTCCTGCAGCCTGCCCTACTGCTAAGGAGAGGCTACAGTACGCCAGACCACACCACACTTGGGTGATGTAATGCTCTACCAATACACTGCAGCCTGTGCAGGAAAAGATACTCCTTGTAGCAACAGAAAGTGGCCTTCCTTCACATTTCCCTGTAAAACTGGTCTTTGCCCCTGCTTTGAAGTGTATTAGGGCTTAGCTACGCTTGCAATATGGAGCACTAAAGTCAGTGCCTGTATGTCAATTAGAATGTCTGTAAATTACAGCGATATCTGTAAATTAAACACTTAAAATACTCTTAAAAAATAAAACATTTAGACCTAAATTTAAGATATGTGTATTTTAATTGTATATACAATTTCCGTCCATTTTGAATTACAATAATAAATTCAACATGATGCATTGTCAGTTATTCATAAATGTTTATTAGTTGATTATTAACTATTTGCACAATTGGATTTTAAGGCTTAAAATCATATTTTCAAAATGCATTTCTTCCGACTGCTTAGAATCAGCATAAATAGTTTAAACAATTAAAAACTAAATTTATTCCGTTAAAAAGTATGAAATGGTTAAAATATGGCTAGCTGTGGAACAATACAAGAATGAAAAAAGGACTCATTTTGGACTCCTCCAAAATAGTCCAGAAGTGCAGCAAAAAATTTTTGGGTTTTACACTTCCTCAGTGCAATATGCCACTGAACATACATCTGCGCTCATTCAAGGGTTAAACCCGAAAACATTTTGCTGCACTCCTGCACTTTGATTTATATTTGGCCTCCAATAAGTTGATTTTTGGACGATTCTGAATGTGCAGTTTTTTTATTCATTCTTAGATTGTTTAATTGCTTGGATCTACACACCTAAAGACATTTGATATATGTTTTTTGGACGAATGTTTGGAGCTACGGCCTTCTCCATTCACTTAGTTTACATGTATAAGACTGAAACAAACTGGATTTATTGATGATAAATATATTCACCTGGTTAATGTGCATTTAAAACACATTCAGAACTATTACAGAAATCTTACCGGTTTTATGTATGTATGACATAGGCATCCCAGTTTATTAGTTTGTTTACGTTAAAGGGTTAGTTCACCCAAAAATTGTTTCATCATTTACTCACCCTCATGATGTTCCAAACCTGTATGAACTTTTTTCTCCAGTTGAACATAAAACAATATTTTGAAGAATGTTGGTAACCAAACAGTCGCTGTTAGCCACTGACTTCCATAGTATGGATAAAAAGTACTATGGTAGTCAATGGCTAACAGCAACTGTTTGGTTACCAACATTCAGGTGAACTATCCCTTTAAAACGGTGTAATCCAAATGGATGGACATTTTATACAGTATGTACTTCAAACACATAACGATTTGAGTATAGAAGAGCTTAAAGTCAGTATATAGCATAAACAGAAATGCATCAGGAAGTGAGTGGACTCCTAACCAAAGCAATCTTGGTACAAGCTGCTAGAAAAGGATTCATAAACAGATTGTTATTTAAAGCTGACCTGCGGCCAGAGACAATGTGAAAAACAGATGTTTTTAAACTGGCATCAGGCGGACCACCAAAAACGGAGAGATTCTTCAATGAAAGCCTATCGATGTTGAATCACACTTGAGTGAGAACGAATGCCTTTCTAGAAAACCTCCCAGAGGAAGTCTCGTCTGGGAACAGCAGCAGCTCAAATCCAGGATGGGAGAGCGTGGGACTAAGAGGACAGCGTTGACCCATGTTCCTGACCCAGTCCAGCTGAGCTCCACAGGGAAACATATGGATGTTGCCAAGGATTCAGAACCAGCCCTGTTTACCCAAACACCAGAGGGACAGCTGTACCCCAGGGAGAGCAGAGCCTGAAAGTATCATAGTAGCACTGTCATCCCTACGGACGCAACTGAGCTCTGGGGCACTGGCAAAACACAGACATTCAGATTGTACTTCTTTATGCACCAAGAGCTTGTAACACTCCAAAGAGAAAGGAAAAATTGAAATCGCATCATATGACCCCTTTAATGTTAACTGTAAGGGTCACACATCGACGTGAGAATATGTTGTGGTAAAAAAATAGTCAAAGAAAAATGTTAAAAGGAATGGACGATAAAAATCTCCAAAACACTTTATATTAACGTTACAGTATCAGCCGCTCTTTCCCTTGACCATTTCAATGCCAACAACATCTTTTTATTGGCAACATACTACCTTAGTCCACTCACATTTCCTTTTCTGGTGGTAGATGTGAGGCTCTGTGAACTGAACACAAAACACATCCGCCACCCCTATGCCAGGTTATTGTGTGATTAAACAGAAATCTGCACTGGTCGCACCAAATTATGTGGTGAATGGACGGAAAGGGTTAATGAGCTGCGCTGACACCCTTTTCAGCTCATTAACCCTTATCCAGTGTGTGCTGCGGTAGGTAATGCATCACAGATGTGTTGAGAGAGCTGTAAACAGTTCCTCGAGGGCATACATTAGGATGAGACTCCAATAAAGCAGGAATATCATCCTCTGCCACCCAAACGCCTGCCCACTTCACTACAGTACCTTGAAAAGTTTAGGTTTTAGTTTCAGGTAGCTTTGCAGGTAGGATTCTTGAAGCGTCTTGGAGATGTTGCCACAGTTCTTCTGGATTTAGTCTGTCTCAGTTTCTTCATGAAATTCCAGACGGACTGGATGATGGTGAGATCAGATCTCTGTGTGGAGCACTGGCTGTTTTCAGACTCCTTGTGCATACAAATCTCTCTGGATTATTACAATTAATGGAATGTTTGGTAGAAATAACTGAGTTAAAACCATTTTTTTTTGGTGGGTGAAAATATTAGTGGCACAAAGGTGATACACGGGGCAACTTTTTTGAGCAATGTTGCTCTGCAATGTTGCTTGGGCTTTCCCATTGAGAATGGGCAACAAATTTCTATCTGGGTACTTTAGATCAACCGTGGGACCTGTGTCTTACCTGGTTGCCTGTTGACAGCAACATTGCTCAAAAAGTTGCCCCGTGTATCATTACCTTAAGACTTTTGCACAGTAGTATATATCAGTAGTATATACTGTATAGAAAATAATCACCCCCTTTAAAATAATCACATTTTGTTGCTTTGCAGCCTGAAATGAAGACGGATACAGTTTTTGTTTTATCCAGCTGTATTTACTCAGTGCAACTTATAACATCCAAGTGAAAGATATAACACCAACATCTAAGAAAAAAAAAGAAGAAAAAAACAGAATCACTGAGTTGGAAAATGGATCACCCCCCTCCTAAAAATGACTCGTAAACTCAAGCAGGTGTATCATCTGGTCTGTGTGCGTTCATGCGTTCAGGAGGCGTGGCTTTGGACGGCGATTTGCAGGGAGGGTGGGACGTTTGCTTTCAGTGCTATCAGGTTAAAGTTAGCATTTTCCAAGATCTCCTACTGCATCTTTAAGAAGTGGAAGGTAGTTGGTACAACACAGACCCTCCCTGGATCAGGACGTCGCACCAAACTGGATGAAAGAGCCAGG